AAAAAAAAAAAGAAAAAAAAAAAAAAAAAAAAAAAAAAAAAAAAAAAAAAAAAAAAAAAAAAAAAAAAAAAAAAAAATAGAAGAAAATAGAGTTAATTTATAACGTAAACAATGCGATGCTTACCTTATACTTACCCAAAACTTTCTACCCGTCATATAAAAGCTGTATAAAAAAAAGAAGAAGAAAGGAGATGTCTTCAGAGTGTTCCGTGCATACCGCCGGCGAGCACTGGGGACAATGAGCGAGTAGAGAGGCGTCACCGGTGACTACCCGCTATCCAATCCAGATCCGCACCCATCCGCCAGTAGAGACAAAAGAGAGCAACCACCTAGTAAACCAGTTCAAAAAAAAAATAGTTTGTTAGTTAACGATTATTTATCCACCAATTTACCTATAAATAAATTACATTTATTATTCAATTTCTTAATCTCCAGTAATAGAATTAACGCTGCCAAATACTGCACGTCGATGAGAATAACCAGTCCGAGCATAGGCTGACTTGTTAGATAGTGGAAAAAGCAAAAGTATATGTTGGAAACCGAAGAATGTAACGTCTAAGAAATGTAATAGATATTATAATAATTAATTGGGTTGTTTTATGACGCAATTATTTATTTCACTAAAGACAAGAAGGTACCTGTTGTTTAAAAAACGTCAAATATATGAACAAATTAATAAACTTAGGTAAATAACAACTTTCCCAAACTTCTTTTACCGCATTATATTATTCTTCTCGGTGCGGTACACGTTAATAGCAAAGACGCAGACTTGTGTGTGTAGGCGGAATATTCGTTTTTGCGCGGACTCTTTCGTCGGTTATGTAATCCATAAACCGAGTTGCCGTTTCAAAGACTTGTTCGTGAGTTGTGGCAAACTGACGTACGTGCGTAATATAAAGTGGCGGCAAAGGCATGTTCGCTGTATATTTAAATAACGTTGTGTTTGCGCTTTGGAGGCCGTTGTGAAGCGATACATGAGTAGACACGTGTTCGAAAACTGTTTCGTCGATTATGTGGTCGATAAACTGTGTTTTTGTTGAGTGTTAAGGGTTCGCCATTTGAAGGCTTGTCTTGTTCATGAGTTGTAGAAACTGTTGCACGTGCGTAAATAAAGTAGCGACAAAGGTTTGTTGCGTCGTATATTTTACTTTTGGATAACGTTGTATTTGGCGTTTTGGAAGAGGAGAAGTTGTTATGAAGCGATACGTGCGCAACGGAGAGAAGCGTTTAGATATACATGTTAATATGAGTAAACGCGTGTTCGGACTCTTTGTTCGAGAGTTGTAGCAAACTGTCGTATGCGCGTAATAGAGTGGCGGCAAAGGTTTATTGCATTGTATATTTATAGCGTTGTATTTGCGCTTTGGAGGAGGAGAAGATTGTTACGTTGTATATTAACTTTTCGATAACGTTCGTTGTATTTGCGATTTGGAGAAGGAGAGTGCAATGGAGTGGGTATATATATGTATGGGCAGACGCGTGTTCGCGTGTTAGGGTATCACTTGATATGCAATAAGGAGTGTGAGAGTTGACTCCCAACCACTAAAAAAGCATAGATATATTGCCTAGTGTAACACATTATTACATCATACCATGACTGTCCCGATTGTTTCCGTAAATAAGAACAATAGTATCAATGTAACATTCGGAAACACATGCAGTAAAATAATTTTACTGGTTAAAAAGTCCGATAAGTCACGCGTATGATATCGACGTGGTCTATATTGTTGTAATTTATTACTATTATAATCATCATTCTATCCGTGACACCGCAGGAGGCTCAATATTGAACCAAAACAAGTGAGAGAGTGGATAAACTCGTGCGTGTTGTTCATATATCAATATAGTATGTTAATTAATACAGTAATAAATAATACTCTTACATGGGGGGGCTTTTAGTTAGTGATCTATGGTAATTTAGCACGAAGAAGCGTGATGGCGGCATCAGTGATACTATTGTTAACTAACGATAAAATGAATAAGTAATATGTTTATTTCAGTTGATAGTACGATCAAAATCAATATATCATTAACATACTGAAACAACCGAGGTTTGCAGGTATGTCATTAATAAATCAAATTATTATCTATTAATAGTTTATTCCCATCGTACTGTTGACAACATTTATGATTCTACTAATATTTTCGTAGGAGACTAAGGCAGAGTTCGTTATTTATATAATTGAATTCTACATAATTGCTCACTGCGAGTCAGTAAAATTATATTTGGCTGGCGTTATGAAGTTTGTTCTCTATGGCCCAGAAGATAACTTGCTACAGAGGCATGGACGAAGAGTTTGACCAATTTGCTAAAGAGTATGTAATATAATACGAGTTAGTGAGACTCATCGTGTCGCTAGACGAAAATGAGTATGAAGGGAGGCAATACGTACATAATGTCACATCTCATGTATTGTGATCTTTAAAAGGAAATTCCACCTCACCACCACATTGTGTACGTTGCGATAGAACAACATACAGCTTTCAACAACATTAAGAATAATGGCACTAGGCTCAGATTGGCCGCGATACAAAATTACTGCAGACTTTAGAAAGTAAACTCCTGGCATAAAATACATAAGTCTACCTCAATTTGACATAACAAACTTCACTGAAATTTCATTCTTGGAACGTTATGCGTAAAGAGAGGGTTTCGCGGTATTCTAATTGTGGGGCTACTCTTCTCATATCGAATCGGGCCACCTAATAACTAATCTACAATAAACCTTCTTATATAAAAATAAGCCTTATTTATTATTACTAAATAGAATAAACAACTCTCTTTATTATGCACTTTATTACGTGAGATTCATAGCGTTGCAATGCAAAAGTATTCAATTGTGTTTTCTTTTTATACTAGAGTTACAATTAGCACATGTAGATAACGGCAGTATCATATATCACCAAAGCTGTTTCGAAAAGATTCTTCAAGAGTAAACGGCTTTACATTCTCCTTCAAATAGCTCCGTATTTGCTCTGCAGTATTGAGAACTAATGGAGGCATGTCTAAATGAGTAATTGGCAGACGTTAGGACTAATTTATTCAACCGTTTTCGATCCATGAAAAAACCCATGTAAATCAAGCAGTAACTGTATAAATTACCTGCAGACTTGGCCACTTTCAATGCAGCAGAGGTCCAGTTAACGCCACGTCGAACTTTATGTAGGAACTGAAAACTTCCGTCCTATTCAATAAAATTCATCGTACTCATCGATCTTCCTCAGATGGAATACAAAACAAAATCATCATTTGTCATCACTTACCTTATCCTCTTTAAGGTCGGTACAATAGCAACCAGCACACTCAAAATGTTTTATCATATCAGCCAATTCATGAAAATGCGTGGCAAACAGTGTTCTACATCGATTATTATAATATAAATGATGTAAAGTTGCAAATGATATTGCGATTCCATCCAGTGCTGTCGTTCCTCTGCCAACCTCGTCCATTATCACCTATGAATCGAATGTCATTTAATTATAATAACAGAAACAACAACAATCTTTACAAATATAGCTGCCTACAAATGATCGGTGAGTTGCATGTTTTAGAATATGAGCTGTCTCCATCATTTCAACCATAAACGTCGATTGATCCTGGTATATGCTGTCTGAGCCTCCAACCTATTGAGAATGAGCTAGTTAATCCAAAAAGTATTGTGAAAGCTCGCAATTGTAAGAGAGAAAACATGACTCACTCTGCTAAAAACTTTGTCGACAATTCCAATTTCTGCATAGTCAGCTGGTACAAAAGAGCCGATTTGTGCTAATATAGATATTACGGCGTTCTGTCGCAGGAAAGTGCTTTTCCCTCCCATATTTGGTCTATATACGGTCCTGGTTTAGTCGAGTTTACATGATAAACTTTGTATACCAAATTCACATTACCCTGTTATAACCCAAAGCCGCTCTTGTTCGCCTACACGACAATCATTTTGATAAAACTGCCTTCCTTTCGACCTTAATCCACCTTCCACTATAGGATGTCGACCACCAACAATCCGATGTGAAGTCCTCAATAAGATTGTTATAAGTTCAGTAACATGAAGTAAAAACAGAAAACACACCAAAACGCCTGAATGAATACCCGTTATTGAGAACCGGCCGAACAAAACCTTGCTCCTTGGCCACAAGGGCAAGAGAAGATGCAACATCCAATTCATCAAGGATGAAACAATTTTGTAAGGTCTCCAACCATTTATTCAGGACCTTTTGAATAGAATTCTTTAGAGAAGTCCCAATGAATTAACAGCTTATTGTATCACTAATAAATTGATACCTTAGACCGTAATTCCGCATATATCGATGTTTCTTCCTGTTTTATTAAGGTTTTCAGTGCTTCGATTTTTCCACCCAAGGCAGTCCATTGCTTTTAAAGAAATTTATTGCTGACATTAATTACTGCAAATATTGGACCAAAATATGCAATGCCAAGCTTCTATTTACCGGCGCAATGTACCAATTAACTTTCCCCAGCTGTTTGATTACTATTGCATCTTTCGGCAACTCTGAACCAGTAGAGCGGCGTATTACAACAATGAACCCGTACTTTGGATTAGAGCGAAGCTCAAGAGCAGTTGATTCTGAGAAAGCAGAACTTTAAAGCTTAAAATCTTTTGATACAATCAAAAATATGTTCATCAATAATACGAAAAACACAATTCAAACAACGAGCATACTCACTGTGGTCAACTCGCCATTTTTTTTGCAGTTCAACTTTTTGACGGTACAAACTTTCCAATTGCTTGTGCATCTGCGCTATCCTCGGAGAGGCACTGCAAGAGGACGAGTATTAGCTGACGATTTACAACAAATAATGGCAGTAACATCCATTACAAATCTTCCTCGTACTCTTTTTTTATCACCCAATTGTCAGCAGCCAAAAATGCATCGACTTCATCGTAAACCGTCAATGGTGATTTGACCTTTTTTCGAGATGCCGCTTTTTTCTTCGATTTGGCAGGCGCTGCTAACTCATCATTCGCATTATCGGCTTCCTCCATTGTCAATTCCGTCTCAAGTTCATCCTCAGTTTTTTCTTGGTATTCTTTCAACCTGTTTAACGCTTCTTCATCAATAGCTTTAGATATCATCTTTATGAGATCATGTTGGGGTTTTAAGCGCTCCAGAAAAGCCTGAACACTCGCATTCTCCGCGCTTCCTGGGTCGGCTTTGATACGTGCTTTCACTCTTATCATAGCGTCTGCCGTTCTCCTAAACTTTATCAGATCGTCTGCGCCTCCACGTTGAAGTGAAAGTCGCTGACACACTCTTTGTGCATCATCACATTCTCCAAGCAACTCACGAATATCACTAAGTAAATGAGTGTTCTTGTAAAAATATTCTACTAAATCTAAGCGAGTATTGATTATTGATGTGGAAGTTGAAGGGTGACCTGATGAGCGAAGAACACGTTAATAATTTTTTCTTCCTCGGAATGTGTTAACTAGTCAGCTCATGGGCTACGCCATGAATTAAATTAAACGGCAACTTACATAACCATCGAGTGAGATTACGCGCACCCGACATTGTTCTAGTTCGATCAATAGCATCTAATAAACTTCCTTTTCTGTTTTTCTCCCGCATAGAAGTAGTAATCTCCAATGAATTCAGAGCTGTCTCATCGATAACCATGGTCTCATGCGCGTTTATCCTCATGGGTGGATTAAATTTGACCTCTCGACCCATGAGATTCTTTTCGACATACTTTTTCAGTGCAGTGCTAGCTCCTAACTCGATCTTTGTATATTCCGTCAAGTCTGGTAAATCAGTACCCACATCAAAGAAATTCCATGGCACGTATGTGATAAAATATTGGTTTTTGTCAATATGTCGCCACAGTGGATGGGCATCCACCAACTTACACACATCACTTAGCAGTATCTCTCTTGGACGTATGCGTGCAAGATCGCTCGACAAAGACTCAATGTTCGAATGCTGCACAAAAAAATCTCCAGTGGAAATATCTACCCAGGCTAGGCCTACAGAGTCCTTTTCCTCATCAAAGGCTACAACAAGTAGGAAATTGTTTGTATTATGTTCAAGAAAGCTTTCATCTATAAGAGTGCCTGGAGTAATTATACGACTAACGACACGATTAAACTTGAGTTTGTCCTCTTCGTTATCATTCGGTACTTCTTCACATATAACAACAGATCGACCTAACTTGTTGACAAGCGTCTCAAGATGGCGATCAATAAGCGAAAGACGAAAGCCGGCAAATGGAAAATATTGCGAGCCAAATTTTCTTCGCGTGAGTTTTATATCAAGGAGCGGAGCCACCTCAGCGGCTTGTTCGAAATATAACTTTTTAAATTTCAGAATATAGTAATAGTAAAAAGAAAAACAAGATATCTCAGACGTGTAAGTTCTTACCTCCCAGAAACCACCAACACGCGTTAACACGACACTATCAGGATATTGTGCTTGAGCCGTTCGAACTGTTTTTCCGAGTGGTGTTTCCCATTCCGGACCTCTCTCATATAGGACAAACGGTTTCCGCGCAGGTTTTGGCAGCTCTCCTGGCGAGAATGTATATGTTGTTTTCGTTCTCTTTTGACAAGTGTGCGGGTTTGCGACAAGGTAGTTTAATTGTTTTCCATGACAGGAATGTTGAGACTGCAAACATGGATTCGCTACAACTTTTTCGAATGTTGATTTTTTTGTCAGGTAGCGTTTATGAAAGGTACGCTGGTATTGAGATCTTACGTTTGGACATGATATTAAACCTAAGGAGCCATGTCGCAGCGAACTTGGTGCACGTGCAAACATTAGATTTGTCTTATCGTATCCAAGGTTGAGACTTCTGGTATGCTCTCAGTTTATTATGGGAATACGCGACGTCATAAGCACGCGACAAAACATTAAATATTCCGAAATTTCGGAGAATGTTATGGTTTATAAAATGAGTAATTACAACAGGTGATGTACATAGGGTAGGTTTCTTTATTCTTCTACGAGAGGACCATTGGCCATAGCATCTTCTACTTCTTTTACCTCTTTCTCCATAATTTTGCTTCTTGCTAGTGCTTGTTTTGCTCCATCCAATTTGCCTGCACCTTTAAATGTTAATGCAAGTTTTTTATGTTTCAAGATACTTGCTTTAACTTGTGCTATATATTGATCCATAGTCAACTGTCCAGATTCCACTTGGATGACTAAAAGGGACATCTTGATTTCTAAAGCTTGTTTACGATCAATAAGATCTTCAGGAACGGGTTTATGTTGTTTCTTGAAAGTATCAATTTGACTATCAACTAAACCCATCTCTTTCTCAAGTACAAGATTTGATATTAGGTTGTCCACACTAAAAAGTTGATGTATTGACATATTAACACAAATATGACCATTAACATGCAAAACCAGACCATACTTACTTATTCAACTCCTCTTCGGCTTGTTCAAGTTCATTTGATTTTTCTAGTGAAGATCCATTATTTTTACCCTGATCTAATTGTTGAGGTAATATCTTGTTTTGAGTATGAGCATCTTTTTGAGCAACATTATTCTGAACAGCCTCCCGTTCGGGTCTGGCAGGATTGGCAATATTACTTCTTGTTGTTGTTTTTGCCGTTGTACTTGGTGGCTGTGGGACTCTCTGTTGTGAAGAAGTTGATATGGAATCAGCTCTTGTAGATGTTGATGAAGTGGGTGTTTGACTGGGTGTTGAAGTAGGTGTCGAAGGTATCACCGAAATTCCTGCTGCCTTTGCATTCTGAGCTGATAACGTTTGAAGTGCTGAAAATACAGGATTGTTCCTATTGAACTCGTCTATTATTAACCACTTTTCTGTTCTAGTAACAACCTCAGCTTCATCGAGAGGTGTTTGCAGACGTATACGCACTTCCAACTTGCCGCCAGTGGGTTTGCGATTTTCATACAACTTTTAAAAATTTAGAGAATCATTAGTCAATGTTATAAATTAGCCCAATGAGAAACACAATTGAGGGTGCATCCCCTATATCCTGAATCTTGAAAGAGATAAATATTCAAAAAGTCTTGCTACTAAAGCCATATTGATACATTGTCCTACAGAAAATCAGCAAATGAAAATTTGCTGACACTATGTTTCATTAAATATTACCTCCAAAACTTCATGAATTTCGGCCTTCTTTAGGAGACCGTCCAATTTAAGGACCGCTTTGCCCAGTGATGGCCCTTTTCCCAATGAAAATAATCCTCGGTAATGAAAAATTTCAAATACAGCTTTTTTTCGCTCAATGTGTCTTTTGAAAGCCTTTGAACGTTCGACGGGAACAATCTTTGAATAATTAAATACTAAATAATTAAATAAATAAATAATAAATAAATAATAAATAAATAATAAATAAATAATAAATAATAAATAAATAAATAATAAATAAATAAATAAATAATAAATAAATTGTTAATTAGACATAATTTATTCATAATATTCTCCTTACCTGGCTCCATACCCTTCTTAGCCGAAGGAGTTTCTCCTTTGCCTTTACTTGATCCGGAACTATTCTCTGAAGGCCATCCAATATCCCAATTAACATATGCAACAACATCTCTACCAGGAACGTCCTTATGTCCTAAATTCCATGCATGCTCTATGCGAACCTCCAGC